AGCAAAGGTTTTATGGTGTCGGACACACAACATTGAAAGTTTCTGGATCCACAACATTGAAAGTTTCTGGACACACAACATTGCAAGTTGATAAAAGCGTTGTAATAATAATAAAAAAATAACCCTTGCTAGCTTCAGGCCAAGGCGAATTTTTATAAGGTGGTGTTACTGGCGAATTTAGATTACAACAACGACAACCACATGTATTTTGTATTGCGGGTGTTATGTCAGTCAAATCTCAATTCGCTTCAAAGTTTACATGTATTTTGTTTTTGCATTTGATGGGTGTGCTGTCAAATTAGTAAAAGCAAAAACAAAATAAATGTAAGGGGAAGAAATCAGCTGATTTTACAAGACCACCTTCTATAAATTCGCCTTGGCTTCAGGTATGACCAGAGCGAAATTAAAGTACAGGCCAAGGCGAATTTATACAAGGTGGTGTTGTAAAATCAGCTGATTTCTTCGCCTTACACATATTTTGTTTTTGTTTTTACTGATTTGACAGCACACCCATCAAAAGCAAAAACAAAATACAGGTAAACTTTGGTGCGAATTGAGATTTGACATAACACAAAGCAAATTTAGCGGATTTAGCTCTAAATGCATGAACGCTCTTCGAAAACATATGTTCGAAAGTGCTAAATGTTGCATTTTAAATGCAGCAAAAACGCTGCATAATGCAAAAATGGAGTTGCATTTAGTTGCATTTAGATGACGAATTTTGTATGGATAAATGTACATTTAGAGTAGCATTTAGAGCTAAATGCGCTAAATGTACATTTGCGCGTAAGCAAAAACAGCCCATTAAGAATCTAAATGCTTAAAGCAACCCTGCGATCTTCCAAAATGTCCACGATGCGAACATGCTTTAATGATAAATAGTGGCAACATTGCTTTTTCGCGTATACAGTAACAAATCGCGGCGAATTCGTAAGGATCTATTGATTTTAGATGCTTCCGTTTTACATTGCGTTCGAGTGCATTAAAATCATTTGAATTCATTGCCCATACAATAGATAATTAAATGACAGTTCACTCCGTTCCGTTACTTCCATTATAACACAGGCATGAATTCGCCTTGGTACAGGCAGCGCTGCGCGCAAGGCAAAATTTATGCCTTGGTTGTAATGGATCTATTGATTTTAGATTGTTCCGTTTTATGTTACGTTACGTGCATTATAACCATTTGCATTCATTTCCCATACAATAGATAATTAAGTGACAGTTCGCTCCATTCCGTTACTTCCATTATAACCCAGGCATGAATTCGCTTTGGTACAGGCAGCGCTGCGCGCAAGGCAAAATTTATGCCTTGGTTATAATGGACGGGACGAATCGTAACAAATCGCGGCGAATTCGTAAGGATCTATTGATTTTAGATTGTTCCGTTTTACGTTACGTAACGTGTATTATAACCATTTGCATTCATTTCCCATACAATAGATAATTAAGTGACAGTTCACTCCGTTCCGTTACCTCCATTATAAAGGCTCTGTTATGCATACTTGGCATTGCATGCACTGCTATACCATTTTTACGTAGAAATCAAAAACCAACAGACTTTTACGTATGTAATGCTGTGCGTTGGGTAACCGCTTACACGCGAAGATTATTTAACAGATTCCTTATGTGACAACTCTCAAGCAATGCCAAGTATGCATAACGGAGCCTTAACCCAGGCATTATGTGCAAGCAGCGCTGCGTTCCACACAAACAAACACTGTACATCGTGTATTCCGTTTGACAACTGTTTTTTTTTTTTTTACTGTAACTAGCCGTCTGCATAGGTTGATAGGATAAAATTTATTGCTGTCCAGCTGTCATTTTGGTCGCTAGATATAAGTTATATCAGCGGCAATATTTGTGTGGGCTTTTTTATATCTTGATATAAGCATTTGTATGATAGCTTCGAAAACGTATTTTTGCCGGATTTAATCGCTTAAAAAATTTAAAAAATAGGCTATTTTACAACCAAATACATAATTACAAATATTTTAACAGGAAACAGCTCAACTTTTGCTTTTATATTAAAATAATAATGATGTTGCAGCCACGAAGTTTTCGTGCAAATGAAAATGTAGCTGTCAAACTACCAAATTGCCGGCAATAGATGGCAAGATATAAGCTCTGATATATATTGCTCTCGAAGAGCAATGAGCGTTATCCATTGGCAAATTATATTCTGACATATGTATCAAGATATAAACTTTATCCTGTGGAGACGGGCAGTTTTGGTCGCTAGATATAAATTATATCAGTGGCAATATTTGTGTGGGCTTTTTATATCTTGATATAAGCATTTGTGAAATAGCTTCTAATGGGCTGTTTTTGCTTACGCGGAAAAGCACATTTAGCGCATTTAGCTCTAAATGCTACTCTAAATGTACATATATCCATACAAAATTGGTCACCTAAATGCAATTAAATGCAACTCCGTTTTTGCATTAAGAATCTAAATGCTAAAAGCAACCCTGGGATCTTCCAAAATTTCCACAATTCGAACATGCTTTAATGAGAAAAAGTGGCAACATTACTTTTTCGCGTATACAGTGGCTAGCTGCGTTTCAGTAATCGCCGATTGAGATTTCATTTATTATTTTATGTACATTATTTGGATAAAGAAAATTTACGCAAATTGAACATCGATGTGATGCTGATAGATATCTGGATCAATTTGTAATCAACTCTGCGCATGAATCACGTATGACGACAATCGTCTAAACGATATCGTGTCTTGATTGTCTTGCTTCATAAAAATCAAAAATTGTTTGATCGTTTGTGCGATATCGTCAACTCGATTCCAGTTTTGCTTCACGTAACAGCAACACAAATGCATAAATCAGTGTTTCGACAACATCCTTTTCTCAGTATCGTTTGACCGACTATCGTTTCAAAGTTTCGTGGTTCATACCCTGTTTGTTTTGTTTCCTAATTAAGTGAGAAAATTTTAATTGACAGCACCGACAAATGAATATATACACAAACAAATGTTCGGTTATGGTTAAAACCATTCAAGTTTTAGTATTGAATTCTTGGTTTAAAATTAGTTTTTCCTTTTCAGTAGGGTTTTTTGCACATTATCTTCTGCGTGAGAATTGATCGTAATAGATATGGATCTGAATAAGCGACTGGAACACGGCTGTTTGTCAAAAGCATACGGCTTCGAACTCGCGTAAATGTTGCTAAATGCGATAGCATGAACGCTCTCCGAAAAAATATGTTCGAAAGTGCTAAATGTTGCATTTTAAATGCAGCAAAAACGCCGCATAAAACGTATTTTTGCCAGATTTAATGACTTAACAAATTTAGAAAATAGGCTATTTAACATCCAATTACATAATAACAAAGGCGCGTATTCATAGTCCAGCCACTAAGTCGAAACTAATAAAGTTGCAACTTAAATTTAAGTACCATCTTAAAATTCACTTCTATTCATAGTCGCATTTCAGACTTCTACTAAGTAGTTTTAACTTAGTTTTACGATATTGCAAAACGAGTGTGAAAATGTATCGATTTTTCTATACGATATTTTGGAAAAATTACATTTTTATTAAATAATGTCAAGTTTGATCATCCGTTTATGTAATTTTTACTTTCATTGCACATTTATGCAAAATAATAAGGTATAAGTTTCTTGTTAATTGTGTGAAATAGCCAGAACTACCGCAATGATGTGAAGTCGATGTTTATCGAAAGCATGGTGTGAAACATACCAACACATATCTAAATGTTATGCACCAATTTGCTCTAAAAGAAAAGCTTGAAATAGACTTATTATTTGAGCATTTATATATGTAAATCATTCCAATTATAAAATTGTGATGTAGCCTTATTCGAATTGTAATACACATTTAATTTTATCTTCTGATTCAAATGGATCGCTCTTTGTAAATTTCAATTGGAGATCATTCAATATTATCAAAATCACGCTCTGCCAACTTAATTTTTACATATTTCCTTAATTTAATAAAATACTTCCTAGTTACGACTTAATTGCAGCTGCAGCCGAAAAAAATGATAGTTGAAAGCATGCGAGATCATGCGTCGTCAAGCAAGCGAGATTTTCTACCACGTGAAGATAGCCGGTAAAATAATACATATGTATATCAAATTAAAGGTAAGAACTGTCGCTTTTAAAATAATATTATTTTTTTAGCATTGATTATGCACTTTTTCTAAAAAAGTTTATCTTATGAACAACTTATAGAATTTTTTAGGTTTTTTAATATTTTTGGCTTAAATATATAAACAAGCATACACATTTTATACATCAAATTGAAGATGAAATAATTGTCTTTATTTTGACATTATTGTCTTTTTAATTGGTTACGTAGTTTAGAAAACATTATTATTTTAATATATCCAACATTTTTTTTAACCTCTTACATCTTCTTTACTTTTAAACTGCGCCAAATAATATTTATATAGCTGAATGCTTGCTCATTCGTTGCCAATCTCTTGAATGGATCGGTTGATTGCCCTAACCTCTTGGAAAGAATAACTTTCATTGTTCCTACACGTAATTTACGCAGTGTTTCTTCTTTCTATATCGTATTTTCTAAAACGAACTATGCAATGTATGCTCCCTTTATTAGAACCTTAGTGGAGCTGAACAATATTCCAACTTTTGACCCGTCTCTATCTTGTGGTGTAGTTCGTACTTTATTATACAACTATTTTAACTAGTTTTAAGTACCTCTGAATTATAGTCAGTAAGAATTTATTGTTCAATTGACTGAAATAAATAAATAAATAAAAATAAATAAATAAAAAAAATAAGCGAGAAAAGTACTATCGATCTGTTCTGTTTAGTTTTTCCATAGCTCAACGGTTGGCTATCTTGATGTATGCCATTGCCTGTGATGTTTGTGTGTCAGGTCGCTTATTGAAAGCACGCCTTAAGTTAATGTTGATCATAGTTGGTAATCGACTGATAATTTTTTAAATAAATAATATCGCAAGTTCAAAATGAAAAAGTCCGGCATCACTATTGCAAAAAAATAAAGACAGCACATCCAGCAGCGTCTTTTTCAGAGGAGGTTATTGAATCAAACCGAATTCGCATCGTGTGCAAAAAATAATTATTACAAGTTATACACAATTCGGTAGAAAAGCAAGTGAAAATGGCTGCAGCTTTGAATGGTGTATTTGCGAATACTTTGCAGGAGAAAATTAGAAAATCTAAGATATTGGTTGTCGGAGCCGGCGGAATTGGTTGCGAGATACTGAAGAATTTGGTACTCTCCGGATTTCCAGATATCGAAATAGTAAGTTATATATCTATTGAGCATCAACTTTTTTCTTAATAAATTCTCTTTTACTGACAGATTGATTTAGACACAATTGATTTGAGCAACCTAAACCGTCAATTTTTATTTCATCGAGAACATGTGGGTAAATCCAAGGCTCAGGTGGCGCGTGAAAGTGCACTTCAATTTAATCCAGATGTGAAAATTCAAGCATATCATGACAGTATTATGGCGTAAGTAAGAAGTTGTAATTAACTAAAGCCTATAACATGTTTCCTACATATTTTTTCTAGAACGGACTATGGAGTTAATTTCTTCAAAAAGTTCGACATTGTACTAAATGCCCTCGATAATCGGGCAGCACGTAACCACGTTAATCGCATGTGCCTACATGCAGAAGTTCCACTTATTGAGAGTGGTACCGCTGGTTACAATGGCCAGGTGGAATTGATAAAAAAAGGATTAACTCAATGCTATGAATGCACCCCAAAGGCAAAACAAAAGACATTTCCCGGTTGTACTATTCGGAACACTCCTTCTGAGCCTATTCACTGCATCGTTTGGGCCAAACATCTTTTCAAGTAAGACAAATTTTACATTGTAAATATTACAATAGGTAGTATATTATTTGTATCATTCCAGTCAGTTGTTTGGCGAAAGTGTTGAAGATGAGGATATTTCGCCTGACATGGCGGATCCTGAAGGTAATACTGCCGGCGATGGTGAACAGGAAGTGAAAATGGATGCCAATATACCAGAGAATGAGTCTGGTAATATAGTTCGAGTAAATACACGTCAGTGGGCAAAGGAAGCTGACTATGATGCGGCTACACTTTTTAACAAGTTCTTCTATGATGATATAAAATACTTGTTATCTATGTCTAATCTGTGGAAGGAACGTAAAGCGCCAACACCTTTAAAATGGGATAGCGTATTGGTAAAGAAGGATAATGCGGAAAATGATATATCAGCGGATGCTTCAAAGGATACTACGCAACATTATCATAAAGTTTGGTCATTAGCAGAATGTTCCACTGTATTTGCAGATTGCATAAAGAAATTAAAAACCAGCTTCCTCAAGCTTGATGACGGCGAAGCACTTGTCTGGGACAAAGATGATCAACCTGCTATGGATTTTGTAGCTGCTTGTGCGAATATACGCGCATACATTTTTGAAATTGGGCGCAAATCACGTTTTGAAATTAAATCTATGGCTGGCAATATTATTCCAGCTATTGCAACGACTAACGCAATAACTGCTGGTGTCGTAGTTTTGCAGGCGTTTAAAGTTTTGCAAGGACAACTCGAAAAATGCAAGTCCGTGTATATGCGCTTACGTCAGAACCCTCGTCAGCAGTTGCTGGTACCGGAAAAGATCCTTACGGCTCCGAACCCGAAATGTATAGTTTGTTCTTCTGAACCAGCTGTTCACATTCGTATAGATACGAAAAAAATGCGAATTAAAGATTTCCGTGATGACGTCCTTATTAAAACTTTGAATATGGTGAATCCGGACGTTGTTGAGCCAAATAAGGGCATTGTGGTTATTTCTTCCGAAGAAGGCGAAACGGAGTGTAATGAGGACAAATTAATGTCTGAACTGGGCATCGTTGATGGTGTAATTCTCAAGTGTGACGATTTCTTCCAAAACTACGAGCTCGACGTTGTCGTAATACATTTTGATGCAGAACGCGATGAGAGTTTATTCGAAGTAGCTTCTGAAAGCAACCAAATAAAAGCGAAAGAAATTGAACCAATAGCAGCGGAAAGTAATGGAAATAAGAAAGCTGAATCAACAGGTGAGGAAGAGGCCGAAGATGGCCCATCTACATCCAAAAAAAGTCGCATAACAGAAGTTGTAGAAGACGACGACGATTTATGCTTAATTGAAGATGACGATGAATGTAACGCAGAAGATAAAGTTGTTGCAGCGACTGATAAAAAAAGTCGCGTGGCAGAAGTGGCTGAAAACGACGAGGATTTATCCTTAATTGAAGATGACGATGTATGTACCGTCGAGGATAAAGTTGTAGCAGCGACTGATAAGTTAACTGTTACCAGCCCTGTTAAAGGAGCAACTGTACCTAAGCTTAGTAACAAACGCAAACCATCTCCACTGACTGATGATGAGGTAACCGAGATTAAGGATTCAGACGATGAGGAAATAGACGGTCCAACTAAGTCCAAGCGTTTTCGCAGCTCACCGCCTAAAGATTTGAATACATCAGAGGTCATAAATATCGATTGAAAAAACTACAATAATTTTGATATTATTTACTTATCAAGGTATTGAGTTATTAATACCCTGGTATTAACTACATACAGTAATACATTATGCATTAGGTTTTTGAATCAAATCGTCATGCTTTATTAATTTTCATACTTATTCTAAAATTTAAAACCACTCATTACATCAGTTGAACATGATGGCATAGACAGGATTTTAGATCCTATTAAAACAAAAATATGTAATTCCGTAAGAAAATATAAAACATAATCACAACATCAACTACTTAAATACATTTACTTCTACGTTAAATTAAAATTTGGCGTTATCCTTCGGTCTTTCCTTATGTTGAACTATATGCCTCGACTGAGCATAGGTAAGTGCATTGAATTACCTCTTCCGATGGTTCGGCTGTATCACAATAATAACTTAGGGGGGTTGGAATACGTTCCAGGCATATTAATGGTATTTGCTCTGTCTTCTTTCCAAGTAATCCAACATCTGTTACGATGGTGGTCAATCTTGGAGTACCTGCAACACGGTAGAAACGACAACGTCGACTTCCATATTGTGGTATATCAGCTTCGTACGGAGGACTTAGTATATCGAAGAACGCAGCCATACCGCCAACTGCTGTTAATTCATGATAATTACTGTCGGTAGGCGTTAGAACAGCAGATTCTGTACTTGGATCTACGATCTTTGGTTCGTTTGGATGAACATAAACCTCTCTTGCACTTCGATCATATAGAGGTTCATTAGGGCTTAAAGGCTGTTTGGTATAGCACTGAAGTTTTAGCTTTCCGAAGATTCCGCGTAGAAGACCATGCATACATGGATGATCGTGAAGAGGCATCGTATACCCTTCCCGCATAACAAATACGCTCATGGACACCATATCGTTCTCGAAAATATGCACATAAGTGCATGGCGCTCGTCCGGGTCTTTTGAATACCGCTTCAAATTGTTGAGGCTGGATATGGATATCACGAAATGTGAGCTGTTCAGTTAGTTCCTTTAGCAACGCAAAATTAACATTGAAAGCAGCATGATTAGCTTGATCGAATGTTTTGAATGCTTGTCGAAGCAAATTGACAAACAACGAGGACATCCTCAGCAACGTTCTAATTGAAAAAAAAATGTCCAAGTTATGGAATGTTAACTAACGATAAATAAAACTTTGCCCGTGATACTTTTCCTGAAGTCAAAAACATCTGTTCATTGTTTTAGTTGTATACAGTGCTGCCAATAAAAACATATTTACGCACTTTCCAATAGGGTTGCCAGCTCTATTAATGGTATTCCCCGAAATAACATTATCACTATTTATGGCACTTCATTTTAATTTTTATTATAAAAAAAAATTAACAAATATCATTAATTATACCGCGATAATAAGGACAGAGTCTTTTTTAATAACATAAAATTCATACTTCGGAGTATATTTCGTAAAGCATTTCTATCACATACATATGGGTCATTTCCAAACAAAAAGCTATTTTTCTCCACTTTTCAAATTATTTTTTCGGTGGTAAAAGCGAAAAATCAAAAACAGCATTATACGATCCAAATAATGAACCACCAATAGAACCGTTGTTTTTTATTATTGAAAGCTGTTTTGTTTTCTTTGGCGAACGGTATATCTTTGATGTATTATACCTACTTCATATACAAATATTTGTCCCGCTCAGGTTATTCGATAATCAACATAAAAAGAAACAATGAAAAAAGGCGTAACTGTTTGTGAATGACTACGATAACTTGTACTGTTTTAGTCTATGGCTGCGTTTCTTTATACATTCCGGATAATCCCATTTCACAGCAATGCGTTTGAAATATACGTCAACATATCATCAGGAACGTTCTAAAGAATAAATAAACAAAAAAGTTTATTCCAAACATTCAGAATGAATAAAGAAATGCAGCCTATGGCATTAAGAATAAATAAACAAAAAAGTCTATTCCAAACGTTCAGAATGAATAAAGAAATTCAGCCTATGTGTGCCTATATATTTTGGCTGCGTTTCTTTATACATTCCGGATAATCCCATTTCACAGCCGGAATAAACAGAATACGTTTGAAATATGCGTTAACATATCATCAGGAACGTTCTAAAGAATAAGTAAACAAAAAAGTTTATTCCAAACGTTCAGAATGAATAAAGAAATTCAGCCAATATTGTGCCTTCGAATTTTCCAGAATGCCACTTTTTTGATTTTGCCGTGATATTAACATTACTTGTTTGGCTTGTTTAAGTGTATTGCAGTTAAGAAAAGCGCGGATGTATTGATCGAATGACATAAGAAATAACTTAATAAAAGCAATTTTTTTGTGTGTTTTAAGTGAATTTATCATTGTACCATGGTAAGTACGGCTAAATATTTCTGGAATGTCACCCAGTATTTTATGCAAAAAACACTAAAAATAAGAAAACTACCAATGTGTGTTTATTGCTTACGGAGTTTCAATGATTTCCTTGTTCTTATATTTTCCTGAAATAAGACTCTTACAGGTCTATTCTGCGCTGGTAATAAAAAGTTTGTAACCGGTAAATAAAGTTCCTGTCAATTTTTAAACCCTTTTCGCATTCTGTATACTCTTGTAACCGGTAAATTTTGTTACCATCTCATAAGCTGGTAACAAATTATTGCCCCGTGAAATATGCAATGCCAGGATTTGCACAATTCTTCATAGCTGAATTGCTGAATATTTTAACTGCATTACCAACGTACCTAGAATCGAGGTGACAAGAACTGGTAACATTTTTTGGTAATACAATTTTCCGGTTACAAAATCTTCGGTAACGTGCAGAATAGACCTGTTAGAAAAAAAACAAAAAATCTGAAATATTTCCAGAATAGCTTATTTCACCAAAAGTGTTCAAATGGCATACATGGGAAATTTTTGCTGAAAAAAAACTAAAACAAAAGGCTTGCCTACCAAGAAAAACTTCGCGTTAACGTCATGAAGAAGGTGGAATATTAGCTTATCTGATAAATGAGTTGCAAAGTGATATCAAAGAACGTAGATAACAAGAAGGGACAACTGCTTATAATTGTAGCGAAAGTGAGTAGCAGGGGCGTGCCTTCTCTTTTCATCCAATCCAGTGCCCGCCAAAAAGAGAAAAGTATTAATGAGAATGTATTAGTTATGAAACAAAAAATGAGAATGTGTTGGTGGTAATGCACGGAAAAAAAATTCTGTGTTGTATTACTTTTTATAAAAACTTTGGTATGTTTTTTTGCCGTTTTTTCATTGTGCGCTATTTTTTAGATCTATATATTTTAGATGAATGAATGAAACATATAATGAAAGTTAACGGCCCTAAGAAAGGAAAAAGTTGGTAAAATTTTGTATGTATTGTACAAAATTATTATTATTTTTTTATAATTTAAGTGTGGATTTCTGAGCAAAAAAGATAACGTGCTTCGAGCACTCTGAATATTAAAAGAAAATTTCGTTGATTTCAAGTAGAAATAAAATAAAAATATATATATCTAATATATATTTATTTTAAAATTAGGTAAAACTTGACATTTAAGAACAATTTAAAATAACGATTAAACCAAAAGATAAATAACAAAACATATTGTATGTTTTAATTGAGGACTAGTCTGGTATTAAAAAAAATACATAATTCACAAAGTTCTTTTAATATGAAGAAAAAGCACGACTTGGCACCATATACATACCTATTTCTAGGAGTGTATGTACGAAAAATTTTGTTATAAAATTTTTGAATGAATATTCATTCATTCTGCTCAGTGTACCTACTTTATTCAACAATAATGCGTCATGAACATGCTTCGCCTATTGTTTGCATGCAACCACAATATAACCAGTAAACAACCTTCGGTGAATTTGGCGACTGCCTTCCTCGGGGATGAATATGCTAGGGATGAAATTATTGGTACACACGCCTTCCAAGCACGCAGGGTTGCTTTTTAGAAACAAAAAATGGGAAAATTTTCCAAAACGGATCCAGGCTTTGAAAAAAAAAAATATTAGGGAGTATAGAGGAGCTTTTTCAGATTCTAAATCTGAAGACCCCACCCTCCGGAGGCTTATAGTTTTAAAGTAATTCGCATTTAAATTTGCAAAAAATACAGAATTTAACCTCACCTTTTGCTTTGTACACCAATTGAAGTGAAATGTCAGTGCTGCCATACATATGAAAAAATGCCTCAAAAACACAAAACGGAAGCATTAAAAAAATGCAGATAATGATCGCGCGATATTTAATAAAAAAAATTTAATTATTTATTGGTCGATTTTTGATTAAAAAGTTGCATAATTTATCGAAGTATCGATTTTATAATAAAAAGCGATGTTTTATTAAAAATGTTCATTATTTATGGAAGTATCGATTTTTAGAATATAAAGCGCCGCAGACGAAAATTTTTAATAAAAAATCGCGCGATTTTTAATTAAAAATTTTCATTATTTATGGAAGTATCGATTTTTAGAAAGCGCCGCAGGCGAAAATTTTTAATAAAAAATCGCGCGATTTTTTATTAAAAATTTTCGATATATATGGAACTATATTAATATATGGTTACTGGGTGTTTTATATAAAATCACGCGATTTTATATAAAAAAATTTCATAATTTATGAAAGTATATTAAAAAAAAAGCTTCTGCATGCGAAAAAATAAGAAGAGAATAAAAGAAATACCGTTGGAATACGGTTGCCATAAAAATATGACGATTTTACGCACAACTCCTTTTTTGTGTTGGCCGCGTTTTAATAAAATCCTTTAATAGTGGCGTATTTACTTTTAAAACGTATGGCAGCACATATTTTCTCTTACTGTCGGCCATTGTTATTTCTGTTTGTTTGTGAAAAGTGGTAAAACGTGAACACAAATTTATAAACGCGTTTTACTTAATTAATTGGTGAATTATATGTAATAAAAGCATAAAATACGCATGTGAGCATTGAAAATATAATATGTAACACAAAATATAAGTGATAAGTGGCATATTTTAAAAAAATTAGGGGGTGATAGTAGACATTATTTAACAACAAATTGCTAAAATACTATTAGCAATTATATTGTGAGAGTGAACAAGTCATGTTGAGGAGGCCTCCCCCAACATCCTCACCAAGTTTCATGACGAAATTCCTTATACTTTCGCTGAAATTTCGATTGGTTCCGTTTTGGAAAGCCCACCCCAAAAAATAATTAACTCCAAATAGTTTCAAAAAGTATAGTGTAAAACGAAATTTATTGAATAATTCCACATAAAATGGTATACATAAATGACGCATTTTCTAAACGATTTAAATTAAACGCATTTGAGAATTGATAGAAAA